GTACCAATTAATAATGGTACTGGTCAAGTTGAGAGCCTCTCTCCCTAAAATCGTAAATCACTGTTCATGCATGCCAGTTTTACGACTCCAGTTTCTTGGCCATGGATTGAGTTCTTTTTCGAATTTTTGGCTTGTATTTGCTCGATCTAAGGTAGGAATCATTCCTAAATGCTTAGTCGTGCTTGGATTTGTGAGTTATTTGGGTTTTGAAGGCCGATTTTAGCAAGGAATGAACTGTCATTTCCGAAAATTACTGTTCACCTGCACATACCCTTTTGATTTCTGCTCAAAAACTGACGATTCAAGCTGGATTTGGAGCATGGTATGGAGGTCGCGATCAAGAAACGAAGCTATTGGTGTAGCTTTGAGCTGATTTGGTGTTGATTGCCGCTTCCAGGTGTCGCGCACTGTTCACAGTTCCAAAGTCAACGCTTTTGAGGAATTGTTTCGGGCAGATCCGGGATCAGAAGCTCAAAAATAAATACAGTCTGGGGGTCGCCTACGTCAGGAGCACCTCCAGGTATTTTTATTTTATTTTTCTGAGCACTTTGGATCTTATGGGTACTGTTCATCGTCCCTGCAAACCCAGACAGTCTGGTCGGGGGGTGGGGGTGGGGGTGGGGGGGGGGGGGCGTGCAAGCTTTTTCCTTGCTTCCGAGGGTCAGTTTCAATGCTGGCCAAGCTATCAGCAGTGATGAGGAGGTTACCAGTGAGGCTAGTTCTGAAACACTAGGGACTACAAATACGTCCACAACAAATACACCAAAGAAGCAATGGTCTGCACTGTTTAGGGACAACCGAGCCCCATCTGTAGGGCTAAAACTGAGGTACATTCCTCCAACTGGTGACATTCTTGACTTCTCAAATCGTGTGCTACCTTCAATGGTTGATGTTTGGGGCTACTGCCTTGTGGGTTGTTTTACGGGAAGGTTTCCGGGCTTAAAGGCAATCTATGGCTTTACAGAAAGATGGGGGGTGCACTGTAAGGTCCAAACCCATGACAAGGGTTGGGCTGTGTTTAAGTTCCAAAGTGAAGCCCATAGGACAAAGGTTATGATTGAGGGGACGTATGTACTACTCCCTCCGGTTCTTAATTAAGTTCCTAGTTTGACTTCACACATATTAAGAAATAAATTTGACTTTACTGTAGAGTGCATTGTTTGAACACTGTTTGACACTATTTAAACACTGTTTGACACTGTTTGGCATTGTTTGGCACTGTTTTGGTGTAAATCATTTGCCAAATAAGGAAATGTTTGAAGTAGGAACTTTAATATGGACCATCCCAAAAAGGAAATAGGAACTTAATTACGGGACGGAGGGAGTATATGGAAAGCTACTGATTTTAAAGGTTTTATCTCAAGATTTTTCTTTCGAAGATGATGAGTTTTTGAAGGTGACAATTTGGGGTAAAATTCCCAAGGCTCCCATTGAGATTGTGGAATGAGGATATTATAATCGAGGTTGCATCCAAGGTTGGAATTCCGCTCGCAACTGATAAGGTAACACTTGAAAAGGCAAACCACAACTTCGCTAGGGTATTGGTTGAAGTGGACGTCGCAAAGCCACCCCCTCTCTCTTTTCCAATCCGGATATCTTCAGGGAAAACCATTGAGCAGCGGGTATTATATGAAACATTCCCGAATTATTGCTTCCATTGCAAGCAATATGGACACCATCCGTTTGTTTGTAGTGTACTGGCAGCCAAAGAAAGGGCAGAAAGCAGAGAACCGGAAGAAGTTGAGTCTAACAAGATCACCAAGGAGCCCTCAACAAAGGCCAAAGTTGTACCAGCAGAATTGGAGGCTGCTACAGCCAGTAAGCAGGCCACGACAAAGACCATTGTTGTGCAGGAACCTAAGGATCCGGCTGGTGAATTTGTTGAAGTACAAAGGAAGAAGGGCAAGAAGAATGCCAAGCCTGTGGTACCTTCAGAAACCCTTGCTAAGGCTGCCAGGCAGAATACAACTTCTACTAAGGCTCCTACTAGGAAATTGAATAGAGAAGAGCCTGTTTTGGGCGATGATAAAGAAGAGGGTTGGGAGACTTTTGAAGAGGAAGACGAAGAGGAAAGGCATGAAAATGAGAGGTTACCTTTCAAATTTGACTTAAGAAAGCTTGATGAAGTATGGAAGGCGAAAGGAAAGAAAAATAAAAGATAATGCGGGTATTATCTAGTAGATCGCTTGGTTTGAGATTGTTTTTGCTAATGTTTTGAACTTAGCTGGGGCCTGTCCCGTGCAAGTCTTATGTTCTGATTTTGATTATCCAGGTTAGTGATCTTGACAAACTTAGATAGATTGTTTTTGGGGGTTTTTTCGACACATTGTGATATGTTATTTTTCTTGAGTGCTAATAAAATTTACATTTCATCCAAAAAAAATTTAATAGTGGTACTTTGCATGTGAAATGTTGGTAATTTTAGGGTTACTAGTCAGATTATAACTATGATCTATAAGGGGTGCTTGGTTAGTGGACTATCAGCCATTTTTTGGATGATTTGACTACTATTTGGCCTTTTGATCAGATAAACAGCTAATAGAGGTGATGGGTTATTAATTAACTTTTTCACTTGACTTTTTCTCCCAAACAGCCGAAGTTGAAAATGCTTATAAAAGTGACGTTTAGGAGACAATTGTTTGATTATTTGGCCGATATCCCTATTCTACCCAGAGCTATTCATTTCAAAAAGAAAAAAAAATCAGCAGCAAGCTATTCATTTGTGCTCCCAAATGCAAACGCAGATCTTTCCTTTGGAGTCGTGAAATTGGACCAAACATCCTACTTCATTTTTCCACAATTAACTAAAAATCAACAATCTCAAAATACACACATGTATTTAGGAGCAATTAGTATTTAGAAGCAACAAAATAAAAATTCTTCAAACTTGAAGATAAAATACAAGATTGAAGACAACAATTGCAAACCCTGGCTTCTTCCCATAATCAAAAGTCCAAGTGTAGGTTCTGCACTTCTGCTCTCCAGCCTTAGCTTATGATGTCGAGGAGCAGATCTTGAGTATGGAGGAGATATTTGCTTTATGGGGAATTCTAACTAACCTTTGTGCTAGTTTGTTTTGCTTTTGAATGCTTTAATAGGGATAGTGGTGAGAATTAAAAGAAACACAATAAATGGATAACTTGGATTTCTTTTACTTTCACAATGGTTTAAAATTTAAAATTTCGGGAAGTGATTTATTACATTTTTTAAATCGTAAATAAAAAATCATCGAAAAAACCAATCGCAAATTAAAAATGTTTTAAGTGGTTGTATAAATATCTTTAACAAAAAAATTGATGTCCTTAAAAGTCATTTAACAAGTTATTAGCCAATTATAAGCAACCACTTAACCAAACACTACTATATAAATTGCTAATACAATCAACTGATCAAATCAGGCAACGGAATCAGTTGTCATCAATCAGCCAACTCAATCAGCTAACAACTAATAGCCGACAACCATTTGCCAAACACCCCATAATCTTGCATATCATTTTCCTCCTTTTCGCTAATTTTTTTTTCTATTTATTCCCATCCTTTTGACGTTTTTATTCTCTTTTTTGGTTTTCTTGTGTTTTTATTCCGTATTTCTTTTCTACGGTTATGTAATCTATTTTTTCATTCTTCTTCTTCGAGCTTATTATTTTATGAAATAATGACAAATATATGACTGAAATAAAAATAGTGGATAAATATATGACTTAGTGGCTACCATAGTAACTTTACTGACTATTATTGTATTCAACTTTAACACTATAGTGACTATGCATAGTAACTATAGTAATATTTTTGTTATTAGTTATATTTCGGTAACATTTATGGAAAACCCTCTTATTTTATTTGTTGGATTTTTCTTCGGACTAGTTCCCTTTTATAAAAGATCTTATTAATTTTTTGCTTAAGTTTCTTTTTTAATTCCACTTGTATTTTCCTTTTTTCTTCCTACCTTAATTACATCACTCATATACTTCTTCCCTTTTCTACATCATCATACCTTTTTAAGTGATCCCATCATTATTTCTACCAATTGTGAAAATTCCTCGTATAAAATCATCAAAGACTAGTGAAGAAGGAAAATAAAGGGGGAAAACGAGCTAGTAATAAAGTATGGACAAATTCTCCTTACACCAAATATAAGATGCAGTCATGCAGAGGGGGGGAAAGTAATAAGATGAAGAGGGGACGGGTGATTACTGATTAGTCGAAAATAGGAGATAAACGGAATAATACTAAAACTTCAAGTCAAAAGTCACTAACCGATCAAAGTAGGGATTATTCTTATAATTAATTTCTCCATAAATATATAATATTCCTATTTCAAAAACTCCTTTTACACTTACTTCAGATAGCTACTTAAAAAAATGGTGTACGTCTTATTAACTTCGTGTAATACGCAGGTTAGGAAAATTAGGAAGAAGAGTTTAAGAGTAATATTGCTTCATCGTTTTGAGAGCCAATCGGCCTTGTTTAAATACAAGAGTGGATGCCAATCTAATTGAGTCGGTCATCCGTATTACATGCAGGGGCGGAGCTAGGGGGTGCCCAGGCTAGGCCCTGGCCCACCCCAAATTTGAAAAATGTCAATATTTTTAGTGTAAAAAATTTTCGTGTAAATTTTTTTCCAATAATATTCTTTGTACCGGCCCAGTCTAGCCCAGTGTCCTGGCTACGCCCCTGATTACATGGCTAGAAATAACAAACATTAAATGTAGAAAATATTCCAACCATAATAAAAAACTATCCTTAAATAATAAATATGCAAAATATCTCCCAATACCCCCCCTCAAGTTGGAGCATGGGGATTCAGAATGCCCAACTTGTGTAGGAGAGTCTGAAACTGAGTCTTGCCAAGAGCTTTAGTAAATATATCTGCCAGTTGAATGGTAGTAGGAACGTAATTGGGAGCAATGATCTCGGCTTGAACAGCATCACGAACAAAGTGACAGTCAACCTCGATATGTTTGGTACGCTCGTGAAACACAGGATTTTGAGCTATGTGAAGAGCAGATTGACTATCACAATAGAGAGGAATAGCCTGAGGGTGCTGAACTCCAAGACTCAGAAGAAGAGCTTTTAGCCATTTTAATTCACAAGTGGCTGCTGCCATAGAGCGGTATTCAGCTTCAGCGGAAGAACGAGCAACAGTGGATTGTTTCTTGGTTTTCCAGGAGATGGGTGAGTGACCAAGAAAAACAAGCCAGCCAGAGAGTGATCTACGGGTAGTAGGGCAAGCTGCCCAATCAGAATCACACCAACCAGTAAGAGAAAGATCACTATCAGCACGAAGAAGAATTCCTTGGCCAGGCGAACCTTTCAGATAGCGAACAACTCGCAAGGCAGCATGCCAATGGTCAGTGAGGGGTTGTTGCATGAATTGAGAGAGAATGTGTACTGAGTAGGTGATGTCAGGACGAGTGACAGCCAAGTAAATAAGTCGTCCAACAAGACGACGATACTGTTCAGGATCCTCAAGAGGTGGACCAGTAGCGGTGGCCAAGGAATGATGCTGCTCGATGGGAAAAGAAGCAGGTTTTGCTCCCAGAAGACCTGTTTCAGTGATAATGTCCAGGGCGTATTTTCGCTGGTTAAGAAAAATTCCAGTCGAGCTACGAGCCACTTCGATGCCCAAGAAATACTTGAGAGGGCCCAAATCCTTCATGTGAAAACAATCATTAAGATACGATTTGAAAGTAGTAATAGCAACACCATCATTGCCAGAGATAAGAAGATTGTCCACATAAACAAGAACATTAAGCTGAACCGCCCCCCCGAGTAAGAGTAAATAAGGAATAATCCGCATAAGACTGAAGAAAACCATAACTCTTGAGAGCCGTTACCAATTTCGCCAACCAACATCGCGGAGCCTGTTTGAGGCCATATAAGGATTTATGAAGACGACAGACCAGTCCGGAATCAGCAGTTTTGTAGCCTGGGGGAATAGTCATATAGACCTCCTCATGTAAGTCGCCATGTAGAAAAGCATTGTGAACATCCATTTGATGTAGTTCCCAATGTTTAGTAGCGGCTATAGCCAGGAAAGCGCGCACAGTCACCATTTTAGCAACAGGAGCAAATGTTTCTGTATAATCAAGGCCAGCAACCTGCCTATTCCCAAAAATAACAAGGCGAGCTTTGAGACGCTCAACTGTGCCGTCAGATTTGTGTTTCACTTTATAAACCCACCGACAACCCAATGCACGTTTGCCGGGAGGCAAAGGAACAAGACTCCAGGTGGAATTATTTTCAAGAGCTTGAATCTCGGCACGCATAGCATCACGCCATCCATCATGTTTAACAGCATCATTAAAGGAGCATGGCTCCGTAACGGAATTAAGAGCTGCCAAGTAAGCTTGATGTTTCGAAGAAAATGAATCACAAGTAATATAGTGAGATATAGGGAACGACATACCTGAAGAGGATGACAAAGCGGGAAGAGTGGGGAATGGATTGTGTTTAATGATGGTGTGCGTGACATAGTCTCTGAGGCGAACCGAGGGGGTGCGCGTACGTTGACCACGTCCCAAGATAACATCTGACTGCTGCTGGGAAATAATCTGTGCGTCCATCGTGGTACTGGAGTCATCATTAGTAGGTCCAGCTAACTGTGACGTTTTATTCTCCTGAGTTGATGGGGAAATTACATCGAGTGTAGGAAATCCAAAGGAGAATGGATCGGTGTAATCCATAGGCAAATCGGGCGGCTGAGGCTCCGTCGGCAAGTGAGGGACATCCTCAACAACTGAGGCAGATGCAAATGGAAATATTTGTTCAAAGAATTTGACATCACGAGACACAAAATATTCTTGAGTCTCTAGATCAAATACAAGCCACCCTTTCTTTCCAAAGACATAACCAACAAACACACATTTTCGGCTCCGACTAATAAATTTGTCTCCTTTGGACTTAAGATTAAAAGCATAACACAAACATCCAAAAACTCGGAGCGATTTATAACACGGGGAAGCTCCAAACAACAATTCGTAAGGAGTTTTATAAGCATGGATCGCAGAAGGAGTGCGATTAATAATATATGCGGCGGTCAATACACACTCCCCCCAAAAAGAGATAGGCAATTTTCCTTGAAACCGCAATGCGCGAGCCACATTCAAAATATGTCGATGCTTACGTTCAACACGTCCATTTTGTTGAGGTGTGCCAACGCAAGAAGTCTGAAAAATAATACCACTAGTGCGGAAGAATTCTTTTAAACAATTAAATTCGGTCCCATTGTCACTTCTCACACGCATAATTTTCTTAGAAAATTGGCGATCCACCATAGCAACAAAAGAGAGAAACATTTTCAAAACTTCCTTTTTATCAATAAGCAGATAAACCCAAACAGCACGGGAATAATCGTCAACAATTGTCAAAAAATGTCTAGCACCACACGAAGACGGGGTTTTATATGGACCCCACAAATCACAATGCACCATCTCAAAAATATCACGAGTATTATTCAAACTAGTAGGAAAGGGGTCCCTAGTCTGTTTAGCTCTAAAACAAATATCACACGGAAAATTTCCAAAATTCTTCAAACCACTTACGGGGGCCACTTTTTCAACTACTTGAGAAGATGCATGTCCCAACCGTTGATGCCACAATTCTGCTTCCACATTCTTTGATTCGTTGACTGCTAGAACTTGTGCCATCGGTTCCTCCCTCAAGTAGTACAGTCCATTCCGCCGTTCACCCGTTCAAATCAGCCTCCTCGAGGGACGGTCCTGTATAACGCATAAATTACTAGTGAATTGGACGAAACAATCAAGTGTATCACACAATTGTGATACAGATACAAGATTACATTGCAACTTTGGAACAAAGAGCACATTAGTCAAATATAAATCATTTGCAAATCGCACGCTCCCTTCTAGGGTGGCCAAAACAGTTTGTCCATCGGGGAGGCCAATAGTACACGGATCAACCGTTTTAAAATTGCATAACAAGGATTGATTACCACAAACGTGATTTGTAGCACCTGTATCAATAATCCAAGCACTATTATTAAACGTACCGGCCATGCGATCATTAGTAGGAAGTGAGTTACCAAACAAGGAAACCAGGGAGCTCCACTGTTCCGGCGTGAAACCTGGCAGGGGAGTGGACTGTCCGCCACTACTTTCACCTTGCTGCAGTGTTTTGCCCGCAGGTTCAGCTGCAACCGCAGCATGTGCTTTTGCCATCGATCCGCCACGAGATACTCCAGGATTGCTCGGAAGGCCTGAGGTATTTGAACGACTACGCCCTGCACCTTTGATGCCAAGCCTGGGTCGGTCACCCCACCAGTCCGGGTAACCGTGTAACTCGAAGCAAGCAGTTACATCATGTCCAGAAAACTTACAATAAGAACACTGCAATCCGGATTTATCCTGCTTAATTCCTCGTCCAGCCCCTTTTCCTTCAGTACGAACTGCGAAGCCCATCACTTCTGGCTTTTCTTCCTGTGTCTGTACGATTCCCCGCACACGTTCTTCCTGAACCATTTGCTGGTAAGCACGGTTGAGGGTCGGCAGATCAGGTTGTGTCAACAACTGGGACCGTGTGCTGCCAAAAAAATCAGAATAAATCCCCATCAAAAATTGGTGCAAATGTTCGGATTCCCTTCTCTTCTCGTGTTGGCCGAGCACATCACACGTGCATTTGCCACATTTACACCTAATCAATGGTTCATAGTTGTTTAATTCATCCCACAAATTTAATTTGTAATTTGGCATAATAAGTCCCAACAGCCATGCCTCTCGTTTGAACGCATTTAGCCAAGTCAGTTTTGACTTGATGTATTTTCGGGCCATCAACCAACGCAAACCTCTCCTTCAAATCGTTCCACAGTCGCTGAGGATCCTCGTAGTGCGAAAGGGTCTGTTTAACGTCCGGAGATATCACGTTTAACAGCCAAGAGATGATCATAGAGTGAAGCGTAAGCCAATCGTCCTCGGTGCAAGGAGGTACTGGTGCTTTAATTGTTCCGTCGACGAAAACGTATTTCCGTCGGGCTCGTAGAGCCAATCGCACAACGTTCGACCATTCCTCGTAATTATTTTGTGTGAGACGAACCGGAGTGATGAAATCACCCGGTCGATCCTGGGGTCCCAAGAAAAATGGGGAGGTATAGTCGAATTTTGGTGTGGGCGTAGATCCTTCTTCTTCCGTCGGCATCCCTGCGAATGATCGACAAATATCGATCGATTAACGCAGCTGCTCTGATACCATATTAACTTCGTGTAATACGCAGGTTAGGAAAATTAGGAAGAAGAGTTTAAGAGTAATATTGCTTCATCGTTTTGAGAGCCAATCGGCCTTGTTTAAATACAAGAGTGGATGCCAATCTAATTGAGTCGGTCATCCGTATTACATGGCTAGAAATAACAAACATTAAATGTAGAAAATATTCCAACCATAATAAAAAACTATCCTTAAATAATAAATATGCAAAATATCTCCCAATACGTCTTGTACCAACTTTTGGAACAGTTTGAGATAATTCTCCGGTCTGAGGCTGATGGGTAAATCCTAGAAGAGTGTGGCGGTCTCCTATCCATCTCTTTTGATTTATCCAGCAACGGAGAAGATTGGAACGACCTTATGGGGCTGGGTACGCAGTTTAGGTGTGATTCAGTTAGTTTTCTTTCATTGTTAGTTTTTTCCTGTGTTTTTTCTGCCCGGTTGAGTTTTCTGTAGGCGAGGGTTTGGTCCGTTCCGATTGTGAACATGTTTGGTTTTGTGATCGTGTGTTATGCTACTTTTTTTTTTCTCTGTTTCGAATTTGGTGGTAATTTTGTTGCCATCAATGGAAAGCTCAAATCAAGCTTATAGAAGAATGTCAATTGATGATGAAGAGGGTAGTGGTTTGGTGTTTGAGTAAGGTGCCCTGGAGGAGTCAAAAAGAAGCAAGACATTGGTGCTCCTGGAACAACACCGCCTAAAATACTAATAGATGAGATGATTACTTTGTAGGTGGCTGAACAAACCTTTTCTTCCTTCGTGGTGGCTGGTAAAATCGGGATGCTTCCTTTGGAGGTGTGGCTGGACAAACCTCTTCTTCCTTCCCTGTGGCTGGTTATAAAATCGGAATGACGTTTTTGAAGGTGGTTGATCAAACATCTTCTTCCTTGGTGATCAAAACCAGGAGATATGATTTTATTTGTTCTTTTCAGTTTAATAACACCAGTTTTTTGTCGATTTATTTTAGTGGCAAGTACAACGATGCTGTTGGATTAGCTTACCAGGATGAGGGGTTAGTAAACTTGTCGGGTCCTCAACAGCTGATCAGTTCTGTGTCTCACTTCAGGGTAGCTTGATTTGCTTTCTCTTATCACTTCCATTACTACTAATAAACAAGTGTTCTTCTTAAAAAACAATCGGTGCAATATAGAGAAAATACAATTACGGACCATTCTTTTTATTAACTTTGTACAACTCTATAGCGAAAATTTTCTCAAATAATAGCATGAATTAATAGTTGGCTTATGTAATACGTAGTATACGCATCTCCTAATTTAGGGGTAAACAAAAAATCGAAAAATCAAAATCAATGGACAAACCGATCAAATCGACCAACACCGAGCTAAATGAAACTGAAATTAACTAATCCGTTGGCGGTTCGATTTTATGTTTTATACTTTTAGGTTAAAATCCCAATCCAACTGAAATCCACCGACAAAAACCGATCAAAAATGCTAAAATTGACCGAAACACACTACAAATAAATTTGATATAATCTCGGATTTAGAGCGGAATTTGGCACAGATTCATTCCCATGGGTCGTCACAGCAAAATTGGCTCGGAATTTCCGAGCCAAACTCCCTCTCTTAAATTTGAAAGTATGCAATAACTTGAATTTGAAAAAATTTGAAGCTTAATTTGATCCTATCAATATGATTTATGACAGGACCAAAGATAATTGGGAAGAAACCCGCAGGTGCACCAAAAATGCATTTTTCTTGCTACTACCTTCTTGTTGCACACATTTCTTTCTGGTACTGATATGTTTGGTATTTTTCCAGCGTTTAGTTCATTTTTGCTGTTTGTTTATAAATTATGATTAGGGCTTCCAGTCCCCAGTGGCGGAGCCAGGAGTTCGTGTCAGTAATGTCAATTTAGCACAACTGTCCCCGACGCGTTTTCATATTTTGAAAACGTTGTACAATTTTTTCTTTGTCAACACTTTTGAATATATCTTTTTCAATAAAAGTAACTAAGGCATCATTCATCATAGCATCCCCCATTCGATCGCGCAACCTGTTCTTCACGAACTTCATGGCTGAGAAGGCTCTTTCCACAGTTGCGGTGGCCACCGGTAAAAGCAAAGCTAATTTCACTAGTAAAAAAACTAATGGATACACAATATATTTCTTTGTCTCCACCAATTTTTGAGCAAGAGGACAGGTGGAGCGACCTGCGAACGCCGACCGAGGGTTTCCAATTTCAGCGATTTGGGAATTGGGACTACGACTTACGGCGTTCCATCGTTTTTTTCTTTTTGCAGCGGGAGTTGGCGTTCAATCAGCCATTTGGGCATAGACTTTTCAATTCTCCTTGACTCCTTTGCTGACTTTTCAATTTGGTGTTCCAACTTTTAAAATTTTTAAATGTTGGATGATGTCAATTTATAATTTATGAAAGATTATCTATACCTATATAGAGAATTTTTATTTTTCAGTGGTGTCAATTGTAATTTTTAATTTTTTTTATATACCTACATATGAAAAAAAAGAATTTCCAGTGGTGTCAATTGACACCACTGGCCAAAGGGTGGCTCCGCCACTGCCAGTCCCCCTTAATTTGGTTTGTTGTATCCCTTGGGGCTATGCCAATTGGATGGAGGTTAGTCTGGGTTTATGTCCCTCATTTTGTATTTAGTTTTTGTTTTTAATATATCGGAGAAAAAATGTGTTTAAGGGAGAGTTTGTGAGAGCTTACAAAAAACGTTTTCCAGCTTTTGAATTAAAAAATATGAAACCATTGTGTTCAAATGTCTGTTTCTACTTAAATTAAGCACTTTAAGGTTAAAAGCAAGAAGTTGATACACAAGCTGGTATATAAATGTCCCTCAGTTTTGTAACTAATTGAAACTTTGAGGATATATGGTTATATGGATGAATATATGCATTAGAAACCCAAAGTACCCTTCATATCCTTGTGACGTGGATTGTCTCTTACCCTTAATTACCAACTGCCATTGTTGATGAACTCGACGACAATAAAAAATTCACAGATGGATTCATATATATCCCCCTAAGAAATTTATGTCTCTTAGTCGTGTTTAGAACACCCGAAACAACGAATATATTTAGCAATTATAAATCATGTATTTTAGTTAATTTATTACTTCCTCCGTTCTTTTTTAGTTGCAAAGGTCAACATTTCACACTTGCCAACGCACATCTTTGACCGTAATTATATCTTAATCCCTATTAGTAAAAAATATTTAAAAACTAGATTTTGAAAATTTGTAATGAGATGAATTGAACAATATAATTTTAAAAAAAATAATTTTCATAAAATAATAATATAAAATGTAGTCAATTAAAGTAGAATATGTGAATAGTGTAAATTCAACATGTTGCGATTAAAAAGAGACGGAGGATACTATTAAGCACGATATAAGTTCATCAAGCTACCTAAAGTTAGCCCAAAACCAATTACCCCCTTCATTGATATATCACCGTTCTCCATTTCACCATATTCTTAACATTAATAGAGATCTGATTCGATAAAAATTCCGCTATGTCCCACAATGTGTGCGGCTATCAATAGGGATAAAACTCTCGATGAAATCTTCGATAACAATCACACCTTACTCAATCATATAACTCAAAGCTTGATTATGAATTTGAACCAAATTAAATCTTTGCATAATCAAGCTCTATCTCCAAAGGCCTATCTAGTGCATCCACCCTCCTCGATCATAACAACGAAATTGTGTTCAAAAGATCGGGGACCATCACGTAGCACATGATTAGTATTATCGCACTAATGATAGAAATGAAGCAAGAGCCCCGCAAGCACCAATTTCCTCTATGCTAATGCTAAGACTCTCCACCGGACGCCAAATCATTGCCATAGTCACCCAAAAAAACACTTTGGTGAAGTGCAGTAGCGGACCCAGAAAATCAGAGCCACAGGATCCCTAAACTAATGTAACTCTCATTAGTATAAAATTACAGAAAAATATTAGTAAGCATAAGGCATATATCACCAGAACATTAAGATGATATAAAGAAAAAAAATTACATATAAAAGTCAAAACAATTCTTCAATATATAGGTCATTTGTTGGAAATTTGTACATAAACCTATCTTTTTTATTCCATGCTGGAAATCCTATTCCCAGAAAATGATTACCATTGACTTCCCAATCATTCTTAAACAAATAGCATGGTAAACAAAATGCAGCATCTTTGGTAATACTCTATTCCAACCATTTGTGCTCATCAAATCAACTTGAAACAAATCTACGTTTTTTGTCGTCAATTACTTTAATAGGGAAATCATGATCCCGAGGTTGAAACGACCTTTTTTACGGTAACTACGATGTACCTCATTTTGAACATTAGGATAAAATCAACATGTTGTTCATGTAGATTATAGGCCAAATTAGTTTCACTTTCAACAAGTACTAGACTCAACAGTAGGAGTATTTACTAAAGCCGAATCATTTGAATTAATATCTTAACTACTCTCGGTACTCTAGATTTCTTTCAATATGAGTATACTACTGAAATATCTTTTCATCCGTAATCGTAAAAATTCAAAAAAATAACATTCTTAAATACATTTTTTTTAATTTAATCTTAATATTGAATGAAATTTTATAATTAATTCAAAAAGAAATGAGAGGTGGTTGAGGTCTAAAGGGAGATACCGTATCTAGCAATAGATTTGTCGTGGTTGGAAGGGGTTTAAAAAATTGAAGAAGATGACTTAATTTGGAGTTTCAAAATAAAAGTCGACTAAGGTGGGAGTCGAACCCTGCACCGCGGGGTAGAGAAAACATTAGCAACACTCATATCTACCACTTATCTACTCCAGTAATCTGATTTTCGAAGTCCACGGGGTCCCGGGACCCCATGGGACCCTTAGTGGGTCCGCCATTGGTGAAGTGCCCTTCAGTCCCCACCCGTGCCACAATCGAAAATCTCAGCCCCGTGTTGGTTCCCCTTTCCCTTTAACCAACTCTCTTGTGAAAATGAGGTATGCTTCCTCTTCCTCATCAATCGAGAGCGAGCTTGCTATAAACTGCCCCAAGCTCTTCCATAACAA